TACTACTACGACTACTACTACCACCACCATCATCATCAGATAAAGACGAAGATGTGATCACAGGAACAAGAAATTTATTGGCCTGAAGTTTCGGATTATCACTCGAATCCATTATCAGAGAAAGAGTCAGATAGGGGTGGTAAATGGTCTCTGATGTTGGATTCGAGTGATAATCCGAAACGTTAGGCGAAGAGATTCCTTGTTCCAGTGATCACATCTTCGTCTTCTGATGATGATGACGATGGTGGTGGTGGTAGTAGCCAGAGTAAAGAAGACTGATGCTGGAGGGCGCAGATGGATGGCGCGGCCGAGCCCGCACCTTGGCGCTCCGCTTCACACCTCTGATCCATACAATGGGTCATGATTTTAACCAACAACAATATGACGACGGGTCAGAGGGAGGCCAGGAGGAGGAGGAGGAGGAGGAGGAGGAGGAGGAGGAGGAGGAGGAGGAGTAGGTCAACATAGTGCTTTATCCTGTCAGCGTCCGACTGCCTTGCTTTCGGCTCGGTAATCAATTGAGCACTGTCGTAAACTTATTGGTAGCCATGTTCGGGCCCTGCGCACCCTTTCGCCTTACTTTCGTTCAGGTCTGCTCACCCCTGTCACTGACCTTTGCCAGTCAAGCTTTAATCACGCACCTAATATTAATCACGATAAGCTAGTTAAAGGCCTGCAAGAATGGCGACGTCGCGATAGGTAGCTCAGAAGACAGCGACCTTCCAATGGACCAAGTCTGAGGTGCAAGCCCGGTACGCTGTCGAAAACAGAGCAGGCGTGCGCTAGCTGTCAGTACCAGGACACTACTTCGTCAGCTAACTCACGTGGACGACTACAACATAAGGCAGTAGAAAACAGAGTACTGGATGGTAGTCTGCTGGGCTGTAATAAATGTTCTTCAGACACTTGTGTAGATCATGTTTGAAATAATTACCGTGTGAGTTCCGCGTGCTAAAACTCGATGGTCGCAAAAATCCCCCATCACCTTTTTGCCGGAGGAATGCACAGAAGCTGCATTTCTTATGTCTATTTCACAGGAAGCTAGTTCCTGAGTTTTATACTCTGAGGCGTGTTGGCCAATTTTAAATTAGCACAGCTTCACACAGGGGTCCCCTGGTGCGAATAACAAACACGATGATGGACCATATATGAGAATAATCGAGAATCCTCACGAGAATTACGACTAAAGATCGAAATATTTCCCTCCCTCAAGCACAAAAGATGAAAACGAAACAACACCCCGCGAAATTAAAAATGCTTTTTGTACGCCCCTTCCGTACGAGCACCGAGAATCCACAGAGGCTATTATACCACCTAAGTAGCCCACTTTTAAGTCATAATTTACACCAGCTATCACATTATTGTGTGGACCGACCTTAAATCATAAGCCCGTTAGCCGGGTGTTGCACTCCCCTGGGTGGTACTTTGTTCCAAATAAAAGTCTATTGGCGCGAACAGCGCCTTCGGTGGCCTGTCCAATCACGGCACCCGATTCTGAAGGACACCAACGGGGCAACGTTGAGAGCAAGAGAGGCAGGAGTTCAGGGCTGCTTTATAACAAAAACGTGTCGCAAGTCCATCGCTCGATCGCTTCGGTTTCCTGATAAGGCTTAGGTGGGGAGGGGGGGGGGAGGTAATAGCTTGGGTCAGGGAACCTATAAACGTCAGGCGAACAAAGCCCTTGTCCCAGCGACCGTGACTCCTTTACGACAGAACACTGTCGGACGTCCATACGGTGTGCCCTACATGACCAAGATCACGCAGACGGTTACTCAAACTAGTAGTGTGTAAGCCATTGTTCGCTAGGCGGATATCCTAAATTGGATTGGATGGCATCCCACTCTCAATATTTGGGCCTGAGAGCGCAGCTATACTTCGGCGCCCCACAAAGAGGAAGTGACTAATTGTACGTACTGCACTAAGAACGCAAGGCACTAGTAATATTCAGCCCTTCATCTGTCGCGTGGGTCTATTAGGACACATTCGCATTTATGAAAACCGGAGGTAGAAAACCGCCAGTCAAACAACACCACACTTTCCACCACCAGCACCTGCACCTCCCAACACGATTACCCAGCACAAGCACCCAATTGCCACCTTCCACGCAAGTGGGAAATGTGCTCCTCGCCTCCTTCATCGTGCGGCTGAACGTGTAATCCGAGGCTGAGATAATCACGATGCGCCAAGCTCCGTGGCATGGAAGGCTGCCGACTAACGCCCTAACTCAGTCCACGAAGTCTGCCCAGTTGTGTGCGTTTGTGTGGAGTGGCGGACTGAGCCAGGCTGTCACGGACCCTTCTTAACGTGACCTCTGGCACAACCACGCATATGTAGAGTGTGTACTTCATGGGTATTGCCCCTCAGTCGATGACGTTACCTAACCTTGAAATGTGACGGCCCAAGCAAATGCAGGGCTACGCTTCACCCTTCTGGGCCTGGAGGTCTGTAAGCGTCTGCTATGCTAGGATCAGCAAACCATGGCCCTCGCAGCCTGGTATGCGCTGGCAGTTCTCCGACACTTGGTTCCCCGCCGGCAAATGTGCTTGCGCTCCCACTGGGTATACAGGCCGTGAGCATGGCTACCCAGTCATCTCCCTCGTGACCCGTCGTCGCGTTGTTGGTTGAAATCATGGTCCATTGTGTGGACCAGGGGGCGTGGAGTGGAGCGCTAAGGCGCGGCTCGGCCGCGCTATCCACCTACGTCCTCCCCGGCCTCCGGTCTTCTTGATTGTCTTGACACCGGGTCCAGGCGGGGGAGGAGGAGAGAGTGCGCAAGTCTACACTCCCTACAAACTAAGTCACGTGCAAGTCACCGTGCCTGCTTCACCTTGCTGTGGAGCACACGGTGGACATCGTCGGATGCGATGGTCGAATTGTCATTTGTCATACATGACTGCCGAAATTCACCTAGCAGTCAGTAACTGTCATCATGAATCACTGTCCGCCATTAGATTATATAGATGAAGTTCTCCAGTGGGTTTGGTAGACTGAGACCAGGTGCCACGGGGTAGGTGTGCGATAGCCTTGTCTTTGTCAACCAAAAATGGAAAAGCCGGAAGGGTGAAAATACACAAGTGTCAGATTTTTCGAATTTGCCGCACAGGCCCTCGGACCCAGCCTCTGACTGAATAGACGGCGTGCCGACCAGGCTCCCCAACTGAAATGAATAAGGGGAAACTGGCGCAGTTGCTACTAAAAGGGGATGGCATATTTAACTAGGAGGCGATCAGCGGTCAAAAAGGTCACTCTGATTTTGATCGTCTGACTGCGCAAATGACCCCGATTGCCGTAGAAAAATAAAACAAAGACCGAAGATCTGAGTATGCAAAGTCACTGTCAGAAGGACTCCTTATGGAGGCTGAACTTGGCCATAGGCGCCATAAATACGTAGTGAGTAAATATGTGATGCCTAGTGCCTCTGCGGAAAAACGCAGCTTGGCCTCAGAGGCGACGTCAAAAGTAAAGTTTAATCATGCGTCGATCCCCTCCCCGCCTTGCGGAGAACTGACAGAAAACCATCACTCTCTAGGATCCTAGTGCTAACAATATCGACCAGACGATAAGATACACTGACGCGATATCTTCCTCTAATCGTACTATAACCAGCATCGTCATAGCAGGTAGAAAACCGGAAGTGGACAGTGTAGGCGAGCATTGACTGGGTGACCACTCAGGGTCTGTAGACAGAAGGCATTCTGAAGGGAGGATTTTGGATGGAAGTGCTGCTCGACATCCCTAGTTAATCAGTTAAATTAAAGCCGAATTAATGGGTAGTACTTTTGACTGTTCAAAATAGAGACCAGGTACGTATACGAGTCCAACGAAACAATTCAGGGACTATGAAAGCGTCCCACCCGAATCCAGAATTTGATGCTGCAAGGAAAAAGACATAAAAAGAGCCTAAAATACATTTCTCCATGAGGTAAGAATATATCACCAGTGGCCTTTACATATTCACACAGAGCAGTCGGATGTTTTAGAGATTATAAAAACAAAGCAATCATAGGGAAAAGAAAAAGAATAATAATAAGTACAAGCAGATTACGAAGAGCACTAAGTCAAGTAAGCAGAAATAAGGTATAAGTTATGAAGATTCATTCGAAGTGGGGCATTTTACGGCGTAGGGGAAGTCTTGAGCACCGAGCGGCTGAAAATCATTCTCATTCAGTTGATACATGGGACTAATGTGTGAAAGACGTCGGTGGTTGGAATCAAGCCAGGCGATAGCACAAGAGCCCAGGCGCTGCAGTAGCCTTATCATGGCAATGCAGTCACCTTCGGCTGAATGCGCGGCATTGTGCAGTTTTCCAAAAACATGTGTATATAAAGTGCCGAGGGAGAGGGAGGCGGGTTTGAGAGGACTAGAAGTAGCTACCGGTTTAGGTGGGGTTACTGGTGCTTCCTCGGCCACATGGGGCGAGATCGAAAGCTGCTCGATTTCAGTGGATAAGTAGCCGGAGTCATCGGAGCCAATGGGGAGCAACTTTTCCTGGAAGGCCCTGAAGAGGTGTAGCGTGTCTGCACACACTATTTCGTCGCCCCGACAGTCAACGAGACGATAACCCTTCCCCTTTACACGCAATATTTCTGACTTCAAAATCGGAAAGTCAAAGCGAAAGCCATTCTGTGCAATGAGGCATATGGGTGGGTCCAAACGGAGAAGAAACAACTGTATCTGTTCCACAGCCAGGACGTCAAAGTCCTTTTGATGAAACAGGTTTTGGTAATTTAATCCTAAAAAGACAGTGGTAAGCAAACACAGGGGAGGGGGAACACCTACCAGATATTTTCGCGGCTACCTCATTAATAGTTGTTCGTGGATGGAAACACAGAACAAGTTTATTTTGCACTCGCGGGAGATCTTTTTCGTCTTCTAATGCAAACCGGCTGACTGCCAAGAGGGACAGTTCGGTTATATGTGGATGAAATAGCTGGTCCGGAAGCCCTGTTGTTTCTGTGTCCATAAAAACAAGAGTAGAAAAGAGTTTCGCGCGAGACATTTGAGATCTAGGAAGGACGATGGACCGCCAGGGGACCAGTGAACAAAGGGGACGGGTTACTGCAAAGTAAAAACACGCGAAGTAGCGACAATGTGTCAGAGCTTACGTATCAACAAAGTTAGTGAAACTTGTTGGTTATGATAAATAAAGCCATAACAGCCAGTAAAACTACTCCGTACGATTAAGTAGGACAGCTGGATGGCTGGAGATCAGCAACGATAAAAATCTACAGTTCGAAAAGTCAACCCTTTAGTTAGAGATAAAGACAAAAACGAAAGAGAAGCTAGGAAAAAGTGTAGTAATCCCACTATCGGATCTAACAGGACGGCGTGTGTGATGGTTATAAGTGGCAAAGGGATTCTTGTCCGCCCAAAGTCTGCTAGCCGGTCCGAGAGAGGAGAGAGGGCTTAATATGTTACTCAAGTTATTTTCTGGCCGTCTGGTTTGTTGCTTATCGGAAAATGGCCGCTGAGAAGTTAGGCATCCCTGAATGTCGAAAAGATCGTGTGATCCACCTGAATGGTTATATATGAAAGTCACGACGTGCGCGTTAATAATACGATGGTGTAAGAGCGTGTATTATGATTCGAGGCAAAGTCGAACGACGGTGCGATACGTGTTTGATCTGTTGGTGTAAATACCGGAAGCGCTCAGTGAAAGGAGGTGCTGGAGACACCACTTGGGCGCGTGACTGGTCTGCTTAGTTCAGTCAACGTACCAACCAACTCCAGGATAAATACCTTGATATCACCGTCTATATACGAGAATGGTTCAGATACGCTTGTCAGCTAAGAGAATTTACATATTCCTCTACACAAGGTTGTCACTCTGGACAAAGGCGAGGTCCATTTCAACCAACACTATGCTTTCTACTCCAGCTCATAAGGATAGCACCATTTGGACGCATTTTGGAGTGTAGCAAGAGAGGTATTATTTGCCGACCAGCCCGAGGGGCGCCTAGAAGCCTTTTCAAAAGTGACGTTAGTCATGCAACTAAGCAGGGCTGAGTTAAATCAAATTTCACGTCTCAGTTGAAGTTGAACCTATCAGCAGCTTTACGAAGTTGCTGCAGAGGAGCGCTGTATGGATTAGGGATAAGAAGCTACACAAATAACCTTCAGAAGCCAAAGAAAAGGCAAGGTCTTCTTCTAGAAATGAATGCATCGCTGTTTGGTCAGGTCTAGGTTTCTCGCGTGGAACGACTCGTGATCCATGGGTAGCCTTTCAAGATCCCACAACCAGTTCCTTGCCTTTTTTTATTTACAGCACCCACTAGTTTCCACGTTTGGCAATGAATATGATGAAACCATCTTTTGAATGCGACAATTAGCGATCCCAAATATCAAACCCTCAATGTTTGATGGCTTTATTAGGTATCCACAGTGCTCGCTCTGTCAGAGCGTAGTTCACGTGGCTTAGCAGCGACGGCAGCGTGAGCATGAGACGATGGTACACAATAAGGCAAGATCGCGTGGCTCACACAAACAGGCGTCAGCTAAATGAAGTGAAATTTTTTACTGTGGATCAAATGACGCGGCTGTCATGCTTGCCACTAACCCACTACTCATCAAAAATAACAACCATGAGTCTGGACGTATGCGAAACATGATAACGCAGTAATAAGTGGACTCCGGACTTCAGCCTGGCTCTATGTACATACGATCGTAAGCCCAGGGACCTTACTGCTGGCTTTCCACGCTACTTCCGTCTGAGGATGGATCCTCGTAATCTAGGATAGAGCAAAGAACCTAGAAAGCCGTGTTCTTTAGTTAAAGTGCACACTTGACTATATAACTTGGCATGGTAATGCAATGTCGATGGTCTCCTTGACTGCAGCATTATCGCTCATGACAACATTTTGTGAGACGAAAAAGAGCATCGATATATGCCTTTATTAAGTGGAAAAAAACTACGCCTAATTAAGCATCAATCCAAAGCTCTTAGGTCGGTAAGTGTGAGTAACCAAAGGCACTTAGTGAGAACGGCGCGACTGTAGAAGATATGCCGAGATATTTCAGACTGGCGATACCAACATCCAAAGCAAATTAGACATGCGTCCACATCGTAAATGGCCAGGGCATTATTATAAAGTACACTACGCATCCAGCACTTAATTCAAAAAGTCTAAAATATCTTGTCGCTTTTTTGGCATATTCACACGCGCACGAAGCACAAGCTACTTACTAATGCATGGACAGATGATCACTTAACTAACAAGCTGTCCTCCCTTATAAGATTATAAGCATAAGATAGGCAGCAGTTAAAATGGTCTGACATAGTGCTAACACTTTGACTACAATGGGGACCACGGTAAAGGAGAAATGAAGCAGAAGACGTACAACACTGGGAAAACGTGACGCAAACGGTGGCAAATGCCTATAACGACTCATAAGTGAGGGTCACAAGAGTCAGCACGCACATCATGTCCAAGATACGTACATCTGATATAAACCAGACAATGCCATTAATGACACTTCCGAATATATTCGGAATATAAATACAAAGTGGAATAATGGTTTGATGCCAAGTACAACAACAAACGAAGGGGATGATGGCGCTAGTAAATGACGAGGCGAAGGAAGTTCAGTGGCAAAAGCCTTATTTGCTTAGTAAAAGGACATGACTTAAACGCACTAGGATAGCTATCCAGCAAAAGTGGCCGACGGACCAAAAAAATGGGTGGAAAACGACTTTGAGAGGACAGAGGTGAGCCTTGGGGAAGAAAATGGAATTATTGGGAAGATTCATTAATTTGGGTGAGTTCCATCGCCACAGGAGCACACCAAAAATAGGGGCGGCCTCTACTACTTGAAATTGCGCATCCTGAGATCGGTACATACAAACCAGAGAGGCGGTTTGGACTATGGGCATGCTTGCTGGATAACGTTAGACCCCAAAATAGTAAGATGAGTATGACTTGACTATATGCGACCCTATGTCAGTAAGTCAATCCGAATCCCATTGTGCGTCAATATGCTTTTCAGACTACCTACATGAAGTGGCAATGTCTTCACTGGGTCATCTGAAATTGATCTCCCCGTCAGACTCGAAATACTCGCCTACCGAATCGCCTGCTCAGTTTTAGAAGGCTGGTCTCCTGGAAATGCTTTTGACGTCTACGATTTTTGTTAATCGAACAACTCCTAGTCCATATCGTGTATCCCACCGACCACCTTATTTGTCTGCACAAGGTCTGTGTGCTGCTTTCAATACTGTTGGGTGGACGTTCGAGTCCTCGCAGTTTCTCACCTAGGTTTGCATTTGGACTGCGGTGAAAAAGTTCCTTTTTTAGTGTTAAATCACTGAGGACTGGCCGTGGGTAAGTTTGTTGATACATGTGACTTTTGCCATATCTGACACAGTCCGATCCCTTTTTAACAACAGCCACTGCATAGGCAACCAGGATCTCGCGTCAAAGTGAGTTGCACTGTCAGAGTAAATGCTGACTGACAGAAAACTTCTCTTGGCCAAGGCCTATAAGTTCTCGTTATGTCTTGGGTGCTACCTGTATCTGAGAACACCGGCAAATCCTCAAGTTTGTGCGGATAGCCACGACTGCCAAGAATATATAATGTCGATGATGGCTTTCATTTTAGCTGTTTCGATGAAAGAGGAAACAGATGCAACTTGATAAGTCAACCTGGATAGGGCGAATTTGTAATATCATTCGCCAGTTTCGACGTCTGTCATTGCAGTTGTTCGAGTTTGTCAGTGTTTTCCCCTTTCAGTCTGCGAACCTGCTACTCAGCACTTCTAGGTATGTCTAACAAAACGGACCAAAAATTTATGCGGAAACTTTATCTGGAAAGATAATGAAAAGGCGCGTAATCAGGCACCTGATGCTGGTAGATTGCCGGACTACTTTTGTAAAACAGGTGATGTCGTCGGGTTCGCCCACACGTGAAATAATGTTCCTCAGACATAACTCTCTGTTTGTGGTGTTTTGAAGGTTTGCCGAAAGGGGTGTAGTCGACGAGACAAAGATTCCCAACCATTAGTCTGGGAAGACGGAGTGAGTTAGACAACCTTCATGTTTAGGAAGTGCGTACTCAAGGGCTCTGTGGACAGTTGCCGCGAGCGCGCTCTCCAGGCAAGTTGTTGTCTGTGTCCGCCATCGAGGTGCTGAGACCCAGCGCGCGTGTGCGCCTTTCGCTGTCTCCGCATCCGCCAGACAATCAGAGGGGGGACAGCGTTCATTGGCCTGGAACACTAATGAGGCTAGTGACAAGCCTCGAGCGTTCCAGCAGTGTATCTACAAGGAGTGTGAGGCGGACAGAAAGGCAGTGGGACAAAGGCGGAGGGAAAGGAGACGCGAACTGCCGCAGGTTTGTCATGGAAGGGTCCGAACGCCAGAAGAAACAAAACAAGGGGTCACTAAAGACATTTTAATTTAATCTGTGAGGGGCTCTCAATTGTGTGCCATCACATGTTTGAGTGAAGGTTTGTGTGTTATGCTTCCATGCGCACCGGCTTCTGTTTTCAATTTAAATAGTTTTTTAGCGTTTAAACAAAATATGAACCAGTAACTCCTGACAATTATCCCCCCCCCAGTTTAATTCATGCCGTTATTTATTTACGTACGGTTTATCAGTTGGCAGTGTTTTTTCGCCATTTCTGTCCCGAATCATTTTCTCTATAGCAGTATGAGACGGACTCACGGATATTTACGCTCGGTCTGTTTCTCCCATCCCAGCTAAAGATGAGTATTTTAAGACGTGCCGATTGCAATCGTCAATGACAGACTCGTCATTTGCTAGCGAGAATCTTAAACTTCATCTAACCCTAAGGCATTTGTATATCCAATTTCTCAACCCGCATCTCCCAAGTGTGCCTTTCGCTGGGAACGGTGTCATGTTGCCTACCAGCCACTGTGCTGTACGTGATATGCGGGATGGAGGAGATATGCATATTTAAGGGGTTATCTGTGAGAGATCTAAGTCACGCGGAAGCTCTGCCGCAGAAGTATTTGTGATTGTCCCTGTCAACTGGAAGTTATGGAG